TGAAAATCTTGAGAAGGAAAAATTTCACTGCAAAGCATATTTTTTGATAACCTCAACGTCAATTTTCTTCTTTTTATTATTTGTACTTGTATTATTCGGTACAATTTAGTTTTTTATTTTGCAAATTAATTGGTGATGTGGTACAATTCATCTTCTTTAACGATACGTAAAAAGACCTAGAACTTTTAAATCAAGAAATTCTTATGTTCGAGAGATTGGTAATCTAACAATAAGTTTGATGAGTTGATTCCCATTAGGAGGTTAGGTATTTTTTTGTAGGCGAAATCCAATGAATATTTCAAAAAAAAATTCAATGATAGAACTAACATAAAAAATTGACATATATATACGTAAGTAAATACACGTGTTGTAAAAGAACTAGAAAAACTTAATATGCGTATTTTCATAATGTATGATTTCTCTCTTATTTGCACTGATCCGTTTAAACTGGCCGAATTTACATTTATCTAAATAGAATGAGAACATTTTCAAACACTCGAGAAATCGCAACTCTCTTACCGACTGTTACCGACCGTAATTCTGTAAAATGTAAAGAATCGTGCGAGTTGTTGAAGGTTAGCTTACGTTACACGCGTTCGCCGATTTTAATATGCAATACGAGGTAGATATTTTTAATAAAGGCACGTGGAAACTTCATGAGATGCACGCTACGAAAAAAATCTGAGTTGAAGTCCTTTTCTAATAGGCATCGAATATAGTCGGTATTCGATATCGTAAATTATGGATTGATCTGTTAAAACCGATTACGAGGATAGATCTTTTTTTCCACTTATCGAACAAGTATCAACACTAATGATGCATCTTTAGAAACTCGTCGAAATTCATCAACATTATCCAAGAGAACAGATTAAATTCATCATTCATAAATTATAATTTCTGTCGCGTGTACGTGAAACAAATTAACAAAATAAAACAATAATACTTTACAACGACGAGTAAAGCATCAGTTAGCCATTGATCAAAAGTTCCAAAGTTACATCTTATTAACATTATTCACAGAACCAACGTTTTTCTCCGCAATATTACGCAAGTATGTTTATCAAAGCGGATTTCCTTTGCAACAATTCTATTTAATAAACGGTCTTAATATTCCACGACGTTATTATCTTAAAAGTGTTAATGCTCTTTCACCCCGGAGTCACTCAGTATCGGTAAGGTTAACCGTTTTATCCGCTCGTACACGAAGGTTTTTTCCTTTCCTCGTATACTTTTAAAAATTCTGTTGTATTTATAGAAAACGAAATGTAGCAAGTGCGGCCAATAGATATAGCTGCTGAAACTTCTCGTTGTGAAAAACGCGTGTTCTATGGCCAAAAGACTCCATCGATAAGTCTATCTCTATCGATAAATTAGGTGAGTAGAAAATGCGCGATCATATACACGAGGATAACACATTACGCCGTGACGTAATCACGGAATACCATGCGTACTTTATCAGATGTTCCATTGTAATTCTATTTTGTTTGAACACTTGCCGTTGAGTGTGCATTAAAGGACAATATTGGCGTAACTGCGTTGTTTTTATTTTGTCTAATCTGTGTATCGTTCGCAATGTTGGCTATATATCGAAGACATAAACGAGCTTAAGAGTTTTTATAAGACGCCAGAACTCTTTTCAGACAGGCACACCTCGATCTCTTATGCAACCGTCGGTTGTATTTAGGAACTCGTCGCAGCGCAAACAAAAACATTCTGCTTCGCCCACACGTGCGCGTGGCCACGGGAAACGTGTTTTTTAGTTGAGACAGAAACATGGCTGTCCTGACTACGCGATAACAACAGCATATTCAAACGATTTGTCAGAATAACAGTATTACAAAAACTTCCATGAAACGCGATAAGGATATTCCTAATCGTCGTATAAGATAAATATATTACATGCCTCACTGCAAATATACGCATTAAGCAATGAAACGTATACGATCGTATAATACCACGAATAAGAATCAATTGCATTGCGAACAACGATACTGATTTTTCACATTTCACTCTTGCGAAAATATACACAGAATGATACAATATTTTAAAGTATCACGATAGATTTGGCAATGATACACGCATGGCATCTGTCACCATGTAGTATGGTTATGAATCGAATGAGGAAACTACTGCGCGTACATTTTCTTTTCCTTTCGTCGTATTTGTCTATGCTGCTTTAAAAGTCGCTTACAAGTCAGCTTTGAACTCTCATCTCTGTCTTACTACAGTAGAAATCGTATGGCGCGTTTATATCTTATAACGACTAGCAATAAGTAAAATCCACTTGCATAAAAACATCCGGAGTCAAAAGGTTCGCATAATATAGATTCGTCGTTTGCATAGGGGAAAGATTAGTCGATGATCGAAAACATGCTTGAATAGTACACTATATCAGATTAGATGTATTTATTTATCTAGTGAATGCATATGCATAACACGGCACTTGTCGCAAGCGGTCACCAGAATTCTTATTGTCGAGTTTCTTTTTCTATGGCACTCACCTTTCCTTCTCACTGCGTGTCACCACTCGTCGCTGATACGTACACACCGTTGTAACTTGACGACAAAATTTAACGATCCCCTTGTATTTTCCTTCGATGTCGACCAATATCGTCGCACTCACGCTCGCCGTCAGGCTGGGCCGCGCGGCGCCGCGCCCGGACGAGGCCCGTACGCGTTATTAGACGGCATACGCTCGCTCATACTGGCAGTGACGCCATTTGCACGAATCCGCGTCTGCGACGGACGACTGGCGACTCTGTGCCACACAGCTGACATGGGCGCGCTCGCTTTGGCCAATCAGTGATCGCGGTCGAGAGTAGCGCCGCTTCAGATTCAAACAGATATTCCAATGTTTCCTTTCATTACTTCCACTTTTTTTCAAATTCCGCAGTACTTTCCCCTGTGTTCCTGCAAGTATGTTTACTGTTTATTTAATAAAATCACAATAAAGCAATATTAGATGCAGTCGATAATTTTTAGCAAATTAAAATAGAAACATTGATAAAACACAATAAGCATTTAGAACAATAAGAATGCAAACCAATTATTTTATATTTATTATAATATTATGTTTGATAATCATCAATGTTCTTATGATAAGATCTAATAATTTGAAGTCACTTCTCAAATCGATTATTTGGGAAATGATGTCAAGCTAAGAACTATGTATTAAATTTAAAATATTTTTGCAAGCAATGGCATTAAAACTTAATTTAAAATAAATTATATATTAGATTATATCATTTGATGATAGAACATTATTTTTAATGTATACAAATGTATACAGACGTATACAAATGTAATACAAACGTATAAATTATTGTATATTGCTACAATAAATGAATAGATATCGAAGAATTTCAATCATTCACAATACTTTTTTAGAATAGAATTTTTGTGATTTTTTTAACGATACAATTATCTAAAAATTTCCTTAATATAATTATTTATTTTATTCCATTATATCATTAAGCAACACACACACACACACACACACACACACACACACACATATTATCTTACAATTATTGTTATTTATTTAAATAATAAGAAATTATTAAGAAATGCAAACGCCTGTAATTGTTTATATATGGTCAATCGATAATGTTGAAAGTTACACCGAAATGATACTACGAGTACTTAACCACGAATGTTAGATCTATACTATATTTTATCTATGGTATAATGTTAAATTCATAAATTTATAATAATGTATGATTATGATTCCCACATGCTTGGCCAAAGTTTCAATTTGAAGGTTAAACTTTCATCATTATATTCATATATTCGCATATTCATATACGTATAATGTATAACTTATAATGCAATAATCACTTACTTATAACCACTTTTTATTAAAAGCTCCTAATTTGTATACAATATTGTAATTATATACAACACAAATATCTGAAACTATGAAAGAAGAAACATTAAAAGGTTGGCATCTGATATGGTGGTTATTTAAATTGTTTGGATTTCCTATCACTATTCCATGGTTGATATATCATTTCTTTGATATAATGCAACAAAAAAGAAGAAAAAATATGCTTCGTGGAAAGGTAAAAAGTAGTAAATTGCTTGAATATTTGTATTTTATAAATATTGAAAGTAATCAATACTTATATTTTAACTAACATTTTAGGTTGTGATAATAACTGGGGCCAGTTCTGGATTAGGAGAAGCATTGGCACATGTTTTCTATGACATTGGTTGTAAACTTATTTTGATCTCCAGAAGGAAAGAGGAATTGGAAAGAGTGAAAAATGACTTAATGAATACTCACGTTGTATGTATCCATTGATAAATATTTTTCTTTTAAATTCATTATTAGCAATTTGGTTTTATTTCAGACAATACCAACTTACCCTCCAGTAATTTTACCATTAGATATAACTAATATTAATTCTCTACAAAATGAAGTCGCAAAAATAATAGATATCCATGGAAAAATTGATATTTTGATTAATAATGCTGGCACTGCTTACAGAGGTGAAATTATTAATACTAATATGGATGTAAATATAAAAATAATGCTTACAAATTACTTCGCTCAAATTGCGTTAGCAAAAGGTAATCAGATAATTTTAATGTAATGAAACTTATTTATTCTTTATTAAAAAAATTGTTTTATAGCTGTTCTTCCATACATGATACAGCAACAGTCGGGCCACATAGTATGTATTAGTAGCATTCAAGGCAAAATTTCGATTCCATTAAGGTTGAAATATTTTATATTTAAATATTCTTCAAAACATGCCTGGAAAAATTTTAATTTTTTTTTTCATTAATATGACAGGTCTGCATATGCAGCTTCTAAATATGCATTACAAGCATGGTGTGATTGCTGCAGAGCAGAATTGCATGAAAAAAATATAAAAGTTACAGTTATTAGTCCTGGTTATATAAGAACTTCTTTTTCATTGAATGCATTAACAGAAAATGGACAAATTTATGGAGGTTTGTAATAAAAAGATTTGATTAATTTTAGCAAAAAATAATTATATGTATAAATACTATTATTACAGTAATGGATAAAACTACACAAGAGGGATATGACCCAAAATATGCAGCACATTGTATCTTAAAAGCAGTATTGAAAGAAAAAAAAGATGTATTAATAGCACCATTTATTCCAAAACTTGCAGTTTATATACGCACTTTATGCCCATCATTATATTTTTGGATAATGCAAAGGCAATTTAAGAAATCAAAGGCAAAGATATCATAATATTCAATTATAATAATTTATCATAACATAATTACAATAAATGGCCAATTATTTGTTATTTGTTATAAAATATTTTGTTTTTATCTTTATATTATTTTTTGTTGTTAAGTTGTAATTAAAATGAAATATAAATGACTAATATATATTATAGTATATAATAAATTAAATTTTATGCAAAAGTAATAGTATTTTTAAAAATAATGCAATAATTTTATAAAATACATTAGACAAAATTATATCCAAATTATATTTTATTATTATGTCACTCAGTAGCAGAATATGTTTACATTATATACATTTTAATACTACAAACTTTTTATTGGAATTTAGATTGAAGCACATTAAAATATATGTGTCATCTAAAACTTAAAAAGTTATGGAATATATAAAAATAATAAGTTATTGAATTTTTGTCTTATAAATATAATAGAAGTTGTAAAATATAAACATACAGAAAAATATTTGCATAAATTTTAAGTAAAAAAATAAATGCTTGGAAATGCAGAGAAACCAAAACCTTTTAAGTTAGAAATGACACAGAACAATAAATTTACCTAACACCATTCATCAAATATATCTTTATCCATAGTAAATATTTATTGCATATTCTCTCGTATGTTACAACTATGAAATATCAATTGTACCATAACAAATATTTGGCTAATAACTGAAACATTTAAAGTGTGATGTATAATGTACAGTGGTTGATACAAACTCTGTTGTCATGGCAGAATTATTAACAGTTATTTAAGCTTTTGTTATTTATCAGTGATGTTTTGTTAATAAGAACTAATTGACATTAATTAAAAGAAAGTACAAATACTTTTCACATCAATATAGCAAAGTATGTGTTTGTATTGCGCATAAAACATATGTAATTCCTATTTTATTCTGTATTTATTGGTACAAACATTATGTGAAGATAGTTAAACTCTTAGATTCTATGTAAAATGTTTTGGACTGTTGATTTTATTTCTTTTTCCATTTTGTTATTTCCTGTATTATAGACTTTTTAAAATATTAAAACAAAGTAGATAAGTATTAAAAAACACACATTAATTGAAATAAATCTTTTTTTTATGTTAAGGAAAAATAAATATATCAAGAGCTTTTTAAAGTAGTATAGATTTTCTTACTTACGATGTAAATAGCAACTTTTGTGTTAGGTTTACTACATGGTCATACAGTTATAGAATATGTTGATGTATTTACAAATAGTTGCAAGAATTTTTGACACATTATTCAACTCAAAATTTTTCTAAAAATTTCTTATATTGTAATATTTATCATTACTTACAGGAATGTTTGTGACGCTTATTTTTGATATTCCATATAATATGATGAATGTTATGTAATTAACAAAATTTCTGTATATTACACTAACTAAGATGTTTATCAAATAATGTTACAATTGAAGTTATACTTTTTTAAAAAATGTTTTTTTTTTCATGTAGTGGGCTGTATCATTGGGTGAGAAAATCTAGGCAACATTCTCTTTAATATATCATATGCAGTGTATTCTATCTACTTTATTTACAATCTAAAAATATATAGTTCTAAGTCCAACTTTCCAGGTGTATGGTTGCAATTTTGCATAAATCTAACACTTACATCAGTAGTTGTATCACGCAAATAATTGCGTGAATATGATTGTGTCTTTTTTGTGTTAATATTAACCGTGATAGAATCAACAAGATGGAGATCATAGAGTAACAATGTGGAGCTAATAAGTATCATGTTTTAGATTTAAAGTGATTTTAGAAGATGCGTCACTTTGTTTTATTACATATTCTCCTTTTATTATAAAATCAGCATCCACCTGATGAGGTAGTGTCAAAACGTAAAAGAAATACAAACAAAAATAGACTTGTGTGACTCGACAATCCCCACTAATATACATGAAATTGTAATTCACAAATTTCTATGCTAGGCCTTATTATGATTATCATCTGGCCTACCTTACTGTTTTTTTACAACTCAGATTCTTTCTTTCCTGATAGTAAAACATTTCATTTAAATGCTTGATAAACTCTCCATGCACTGATACCCAGAGCTACCAATGTAATAGTTGTATGAAGAATTCTTCTTCTTGTGTCATCTTTTCTTACAAGAAATGTTGGAGAAGATGGTCCTAAAACAGCTAACAATTCTACATGTGGTAATTTGCTCGTGTCAGTCTCTACTTGATATTGGCAACAGGGATCAAACTGCCAAGAAACAGTATAAAGTCCACAGGATATAACAGATATAAAACCTAATGGGCCACAAATATATGGCTGATCACCCCAAATTAGACCTGTACAATACACAATAACATATTTTACACATAGTATAATACTTTAATATACATATTATGGAAAATAAGTCGTAAAAACCTGTGGTTATGGCAGCAAGACCAGATACAGCTGCAGTCTTATGAAGACAATTTCCTACTGCTATCCACCTGGAGGTTTCATCACCTAATTTGGATGGTTCAATAATAATTAAACTGCATTCAGATTCTAATGCTCTTTCTAGTTCATATTCAAACGTCTCATGTGCGTTTTCATTATCGTATACTTCTTTGATAATGGCAACATTTGAAATTTCTTCTCTGAAAAAAAATTTACACTTAATTGTCAAATAAATACAGTAAATAAGTAAATACAATATTTATATAAATTATTTAAACATACAACATTTTTATTTAAAGTATTGTCGTTTTGGTTATAAGAACACGTACAAACTCTACTCCGGTAAAATTGGTAAAACTAAAGCAGCTCTATATAACAACTGTGTAAATTAAATCAAATAATGTGACCCTTATCACAAATTAAATTTTTTTGTCTGTTATGTAAGATGTTGATTGTTCAACTAATCAACATTCCATTTGTTTGAATACAAACACTTTTGTAACAGAACAGTAAACTTAGTTTTAATGTCATACGTTTAAATATATATATATATATTTTTCTTTTTTTTGAAATCCAACAATCTTTGAGAAATTAATATATATTTTAAGAATTGAGAAATATTATACTAAATTGACAGGAGGTGCAAAAAATTTATGAAAAGAATAAATATGATATATAAATATAATGAATCTTTGTAATGAAATCATCTCTAATTTTGCTACGGAACTGAATTTACGGGTTAATGAAACATTCATGGACATCTAGTAGAGATTATGAAAGATTAATTTCTTGAATTTCAGGATGTGAATGTGAGGTTAATTTCATTTCAAAATAAGTATTATGTTATTGTATTATATTAGGATATGTATGTTAGTGCTAATTAGAAGTATCAAATTTTATATAAAAAGCCGAAAATAATTTAGTCAACGAACCTGTCACCAGCTTCATCTACCATCTTTACAGTCAGTCTTCCAAACACTGGAACGTTGGTCAGAATGAACCGGAAAAGGAATCTCGAATATCGAACCGGATACGAAAATCAGCTGATTCGATTTAAGTCTTCGCATGAGTCAAGTCGTAGCTTGCTTCTTAAACTTGTTCAAACGTGTTTCTGCATGAAAGTGGCAAATATATTTTTATTTACCGCAGTACATGACTATGTTTGAAGAGGAGAAGAAATATTATCTTCTAGAAAGGTATTTATAATAATTTGAATATCTCTAGGAAAGTAACATTTCACGAAATACAATGTATTATATATCAATCGTAAATATCCTCGTCAATTGTATATTTATAAATTATTATAAATTGTGGTAGATGATACATAAAATATTTTAGTACAAAGTTTCATAAAACTCTTTATATCTAAGAGTTGGCGTTTATTTCAAGTATCAGTGTTTCAGTCGAAATTTGTGTTTGGAAGAATTCTAGATAATGAAGATGAAAAATATCGACCATTGTTTCACAATTAAATTACGAATGTTCGCGACAATACATATTTTTATAAATATAACTAAATAAATGAGGAGAGATTGGATATTTTATATATTTGGATTTGGCTTTACTTTTAATGTTTTTACTTTTCTACGGTACAATTTTCCGTGAACAATCGTAGTCGGAGCCTTCTTGCAGAATAATTTACCAACTAGTACGTATTAATAAATTGGTTTGTGTTACGGAAATAAGTTTAATAATAAACCAAATGAAATTTTACATCTAATCGAACTGTACAGGTTTTTGTGCGAGACATTTGATCGTCTTATTTGAAAATAAAATCGTAAAATCGTAAAATTACGAAAGAAGCGCAGTTTACTAATATTGATAATTGATAAATTATTCTACGGGTGAATCATGGTCACGGGGGATTGAAAGAAAATAGATAAAAGAAAAACGGCGAAATGATTATTTCTTAGAAATTCTTACGCCGCGCCGTGGCGCTCTATTCCAGCGGCCGAACGAAGGACTAGTTTGGCGCTGGCGTAGTCTTGTAGCCGAAAGGGCGTGCTACGGTCGATCGAGCGAGAGTAAGCGCTGCGGACGGCATAGAGGCCGAGTTAAACGGGCCAGATCGCAGATGGACGTCCGCGGGAGCGTTCTGTCATGGAGAGCACAACGCAATGTGTCGTAAGTGTGCTCGAGTATCGTCGTCGTGCTCGTTGCCGTAGTCGTCGCGTGTGTTGCGTTTCGGTCCGCGCGCGTATCAACGGATTATCGCAGTGACAGTCGATGCAGTATAAGCGTACGTAAGGATCGTGGTGCTCCTGGTGCTCTTGGTCCGTATATCGTGGACTCTGGGCAATCGAATAATTACATCTCAGTCTCGTCTTTACACGATCCAAGACGAGTTTCGATCGTATGAAAAGAACGAGTGGTCGAGTCTTTCGCTCGATTGAATGACCGTACGCTGTATCGCGCACTTTTATCGTGTGTGCGATTGACAGTTCGATTGGTCGAACGATCGATAGATCGGTGCTGTGACATGTTAACTGCGGTGCGTACTATTGTGTCGAATAATAGATTCGTGCGATTCGGAGTATAATGCGTATAATCCACGTGCTCGCATTGAACGGCGTACGGCTCTATTCAAGGGAAACATTGTCAACAAGTTGATTGGGTTGCGAGGGTCGATATCTCGTCTCCGTTCTGCGTGAGCATAAACGCACTGTAAACATACAAGCGTTTGTATACATTACGAAACTCGGAGCTGAACGAAACAGAGCCGAGCACGTATATACTGTTGGTCGAACCGTATGTAAACAACGAGCAGAGAAGCGTATCGGAGTTTCTTCCGGTTATGGAGTACAACCATCGCGAGAGAGCGTAATACTATTCGTACATTGGCGCCGATTCGCGCACAGTTTACTCTCTTCGTCTAAGCAAGCAGTATATCGTTTCGATGTACAGTCGACTCTCGATTCTGTCTCGACCTAACTGCACGCGAGATACCCAACGAACGAAATTGACGAAACATATCGAAACGTTGCCAGTTGTCGATTGCTCTGTAAGTGGTGATCTTCACGCGAAACGAGAATACGAAATCCTGTTAACTCGATCCGTTAAACGTAACGGACACGCGGAAAGTGGCCGCTGGGGACTGACTCGAGGTCGGTGGTGGAGCGCGTTTTCTATAAAAACCGAAATTGTATATAAATCGTACGAGTTGAAATAAATGAGATAAATTGATAGCAAAGTAAAACATAACATTGCCCTTCGATGAAACTCGTGTCAATGTATGGAAGAGAGAACTTTGGGCAATCGTGTTTGGGAGTTTCGTGCTTCTCGAGCAATCGATATAAATCGATTTTTATCGCTCGGATTCGTTACGTTTGATTTATGCGCAGTTGGTTTGTGCGCATTTAGTCGGTGTTTAGTTGACGCGTTCGCTCGTCGCGTTCTCGGTGCTTGTGAACGACGGGTGAACGAAAAGGGTGAAGGAAATAAAAAGGAAAAAGAGGGCGAGAGACGAACGATGGTGCTGTCCGGTCGTCGTGGTTAATTCGCACGTGTCGCGATGTCGGGCGGCACGGCGGGCGTCCGTGGCACCGGCGCCGAGTGCAGGAAGTTCGCGCCGAACATATTCAACAAGAGCAAGTGCAGCAGCTGCTTCAAGCAGAAGGAGGAGCACAGCGCGGAGGCTCTGGAATGCAACAGGGTGAGTTTTGCTTGATGGACTCTCTATCTCTTTCCATCTCTGTCTCTTTCTTCTTCCCTGCGTGCGTCTGCCTGTCTCGCTCGCTCTCGTACTCGCTATCTCTCTCTATCTGTCTATCCTACTCTGTCTTTGGTCTATCCTCTCTTTCTAACGTACGGTTGCGTACGTGTCTCCGTCTCGCTCCGTCTCACGCGTGCGTACACGGTTCGTCGCGAGCCGGCATTTTCTCTTTCTTGCTCGCCCTCGAATTCCGTGCCGTGATCGGCACCAGGCAGAAGGACGAAGGTCCTGACGGTCAGGACGTCGATGTTATGTAAGATGAGCATGCACGGTGAACGCGATTAGTCCACGGAACGACCATCGGTTTTCAACCCCAGACATCCGTGCAGCCTCTCTTTTCAGGCTTTCGTCGCGGCAATGTAGCGGCTCGTTCCTCACGATTCCACTGCAGACGTTTTTTTTT